TTCATTTGTAGCTTATGTTTAAAGAACTGCTAATGACACTGCATCGTGTGTGTTCAAACCATCTAACCAGAGCCAACATAAAATTATGTTTTTTACAGTCATTTACAAGGTGGCTTCACATATGTAATCAGGGTAAACAGATAAACTGTGACCACAACAATTGCATGACAGAGTGATGCAAACTCACACGCTTGAGTTTACATTAACTGCATCAGATATGAGAAACAGAACAATTGGGTTTAAGTCTTGCAAGCTGACTACTCTTTTGGTTCAGTCAAACTCCAAACTGCATTAAAAAAAACAAACACCATTACATTTATATTTTAAATGTCTCCTGTCAACAGTACAGTACATAACCCAAAAAACTACATTTGTACTTAGCAAGTGTGGCAGTCGACCATGCCACGGGGTTCCCACCACGACAGCCAGAAACGAACCAGTCCAACCATTGGGTGCTCAGCAACATCTTTTTATTGCATGCCAACAGAACTGACAAAACATTGAACTTAAAGGGTCCAGCACTTTCTGCTGGACCATTAGCTTCACCCAGTCTCTTCCCCAGTGTGTGTTCCCCGAGGCAGCTCTGCTGCTGCCTTTTCAAGCATGAGGATCAATCAGCTAACAGATCTCACCTGTGCTGACTGATCCTCTGTGGTGCAGGTGAAGGTGCTCTCTCAGCCCCTTCACCTCCACAGCAAGGTTCAAAACTATGGGGCAAATAATTTTGTAAATATAAAATGAACAAAGAATTAAGGAATCTGGAACTCCATGTGCATGGTGGCTGAATTAATACCATCTAGAAAAACAGACCTCCCTATCGTCACACATTGAAGAAATTGTATTATTGATTATGGGTCTTGAGGCATTCAGACATGAAAATACGACTGTGTTAAGTGAAAATATTGGTTAATTGATTAATTATTTAAAAACATATATTCATGAAAATGCATTAATTTCAAGCTCCTAAATAGTTTATAGTTCCTAATTATTATATAAATGTTAAAACAGCTGCAACAAATAGACCAAGATGCCTCATTTAGGCTATAGGCCCACCATGGTTAATGATTGATTTTTGTGAATAAAAAATATCTCTCTATATAAAATATCCTATTTTTTAATTGCACCCAGGTCCTAACATACACTGTAAATCCCCTTCCCTTAATTGTGCGAGTGGTGTTTATGGCTCAGCTACAATAGCAAACATAAGGCAGGAGTGATTATATTGTAAGTGATTCTCAGCACCCTCTATAAAATTAAAAATGTTAGTCTGTGTTCTCCAATTTCCAATAAGCAAGCGCATAGGCAAACATGGAATGCAAACACACACACACACACACACACACACACACACACAATGACTGACTGTTAATGACAGTGCAAGTTAATCTTTATTGAGGCTCTTGTTCCTGACAAATAAGTGTTGGGAACAAACAGTGAGGCGCAGCGGTGATGTTAGCAAAATGTATTTTCTTAATTAAAAGCTTTTCTTTGTTTTACCTGCACAAATGATAACAGCTATCTGTGTGTGAGAGATAAACTGGGGAGTAGGAGCTGTTTATGAGGAAACAACACTATTTGTTCGTGTTAATACTGCAGTGCATTAACAGAAAAGATTCTGTGTCAAGATTTGTAAATGAATAGGGTGACATGAACACATTGCATAGAGATTAGTTTGATGGGAATGTAATCAGTGTGAAGTACCATGTGTCTGTGTCAATGGTTAGACAATGTTACATGATGATTTGTGACTGGTGAGTAGAACGTTGGACATATATTGAA